CTTATCCACCCCTCGCCTCTCTACTAACCCTCCAACTTCCTATCATCCTGTGGACATCTAAAACTCAACATGTCTAAATTTCATTATCACTCAATCTCACTCAAAATTACTCACTTTCAAATTTCCTGTTACCCTCACACACACATCCACTCCTTCACATTTCTCCCCACAAGCACTTCCTAAAGCACAAAACACGCTAATTTAAGAAACTTCACATGGAGGTGTTGTGCTGAGGGGAAGAGAGAGAGAGCTTTTGGAGCCTGGGAGAGTGATTTTCACCTGTATCAGGTGGAGATCCCCAGGCAGAAGCAGGTTTTGCTATGTCTGACTAGGAAGCAAAGCCTTCTGCTGAGGACTTGGGGGGAAATGCAGAAGAAAAATGCATTAAAATCAAAGTCATTGGGCAGCTGTGAAATTCACTTCAAGGCGAAAATGACAATACATCTCAAGAAACTCAAAGAATCATACTGTCAAAGACAGGATATGCTGTTGAATTCACTCAAATTTCTTTTTGAAGGTCAGAGAATTGCTAATGATCATACTCCAAAAGATCTAGGCATGGAAGAAGATGTGAAAGAAGTTTATTGGGAAGAGATGGGGTCACTCAGCAGTTTCCATCATGTAATTTTTGCCCCTTTTTCCCCTTGGTTCTTTTTTTTAATTTTTAAACAGTAGTTCTTTTGTAATATTGTATTCAACACTGAGTTGAAACTGGCACCCTGGCTCTGGAAGTCTTACTTTCAAAGTCTGCTATTTTGAATTCCAGTGCTCCTCCTATATTATCATTTGTTTTCATAATGCCGAACTCTTTTGATCAAGCTGCAGTCCCTTCCTACTTTTCTACCATCCTTTTTGAAATGTATGTGCATGCATACCACATTCACTCAGCATTACAGCCTTGAAGGTGATAAGACCTGCCAGCGCCAGTGTTCTAGATGACTTTTCCATTGACCCTGAAGTCCTGGGGTGTTATTACTTCCCTCTTGGACTATAACTCTCAGTGAGCAAGGGAAGTTTTTCAGAGGGCTGAACTGTGGAAAAATGGTGTTTCTTTCATTTGAAGCTACCTTTTAATGTATCTGATGGCCTGGGCCAGAAGAAAAATATCAGGTTGGAAATGGAGATGATAGATCAGGTTGCAATCATGACTAACTTCACTGAAGAGGCAAAGCATTTCAGGATTCTAAATTTTGTCAGAAAAACCCAAAAAACCTATCAATTTTCCATTTGAAATTAATAAAGGTACTGATGCAGAAATGTATATGGCAAACCACTAATATCATTTGACTTTATTGTATTTTTTGGCCTGGGGCATGGGTTTTAAATGGGTATTATTTGTACCAGTTTCTTTAAAATAAACAAAATATTTGTAAAAAAAAATCCTCACCTATCATCCCAAGAATGAAATCCAGATTTCTAATCTAACCATTTAAAACTCTTCACAAACTGGCTGAAGGTTACCTCTCCATGCTTATTTCACATTATTCTCCTTTCCTCACTGGGGATAAGTAGCACTGAAGCATTTACATGTTTTTCTGTTCCTCCTCATTTGTGAGTTCGGTGATACCATGAAGAGAGAAGACCTGCATTGGTTACCGTTTTGGGAGACTTTGGGCAGCCAGGGGGTAGCAGCAGGGTATTAGGTGGACCCTGTGGGTCTGGGTTTATTGTCTGACAAGCAGTAGGAAATAGTATAGAAAAGGAAGTAGAAGTGAGAAAAGACAAACTCCATTACTCTCAAAAGTATTCATGGTCAGGGTCTGTGGATACATCTGCACGTGAGGATGTGTGGCCAATTCTCGAGAACATCCTTCTAGGTACTGTAGTCTAATATTCTTTCTCTGCTTTCCTTTGCTTTTTGATATTTTTTCTTGCTTAAGGCCTATTCTCTAGTCTGAGAATTTTTCTGTCTGTCCAAAAACATTAGTAGCATGGACTTCTTTTCTTTTTTTTTTCCTCCTTTTTCTTTCTTTCTTTCTTTTTTCTTTCTTTCTTTCTTTCTTTCTTTCTTTCTTTCTTTCTTTCTTTCTTTCTTTCTTTCTTTCTTTCTTTCTTTCTTTTTTTGGCTAGGCAATGGGGTTAAGTGACTTGCCCATGGTCACACAGCTAGTAAGTGTTATGTGTCTGAGGCTGGATTTGAACTCAAGTCCTCCTGAATCCAGGGCTGGTGCTCTATCCACTGGGCAACCCAGTTGTCCCTCATGGACTTCTTTTCACCCTAAGGTTTTGGATTTCTGAAACTATGATTTGAAGATGAACAATAGCAGTATCTGAGTGCCTTTTTCATTTCCCTGATACTCATTTCTTTGTTTGTGGCTTTTCCTGCCTGTTTTACCTTCTTCATCTGCTTCTCTCTCCTGACACCCTCTTTCTCTCTGTGCAGCTAACTGAAGCCAGGCATTCAAATGGTCCTGTCTACTAGAAGAGTTTGCTGTGTTTCTATCATAGAAAGAGCCATCAGTGGGGAGGCCAGGTGAGAGGCTGGGCCCCAGCTGCATGTCAGTCCTGAAAGAGCAGAGATATTTACAGCACGGATGCAAAGGGCAGCAGAACACTCCAGCCAATAACTTTTTTTTTTTGGTTGAAAGCTTATTTGAATGTCTTACTATCAAATACCATGAAGTATAATTGCTGTTGTTGGTAGTTCTTTGTTCTTTTTTTTTCCTTTGGTGAGATGATTGGGGTTATGTGACTTGCCCAAGGTCACACAGCTAGTAAGTGTTAAGTGTCTAAGGCTGTATTTGAACTCTGGTCCTCCTGACTTCAAGGCCAGAGCTCTATTCACTGTGCCACCTAACTGCCCCATAGTTCTTCGTTCTTGAAAAGGACCATGACATCAAGGAGGTGATGCCATGATATGTAAATAAATTGTACTTAAGTGAGGAAGGGCTGTGCAAAGTCACCAGTCTCCCTTTCTCCTCTGCAGCCATCCGGGTCCAGGGGGAAACACACACACACACACACACTTTGAGTTCTTGTTTTTCATTTAGCAGCTTCTGAATTTCCCCATCATTTTCATCAAGCCAGTCTTGATGTTTGCGAGTGTTCTGACCCAGATGAGTAAAGGTGGTTCTGTACACCAAATCTCTGAAGGCTACCCACTCCTTTTCTCCTTCACTGTTACCAACTGTGTGTTGGCTCAACTTTCCCTCCAAATTAACAACAAACTGTTTCTACTCAGAGAAGCACTCTAATCTGTTGACACTAATTCTTATGGTAGTCATTTTGCTTTGGGGCCATGGCTTTTGTTGAATGAGAATATTTAACTTGGAGAGGATAAGTCTATGATCAGTCCAGCACTCTGCCCACACATTGCCTTCATTACTTTCATATCCAGTCTATCTCTTCTCCTTACAATCACATAGTCTATTAGATGCCAATGTTTGCTGCGAGAGTGCATCCATGAAGTTTTATTACGTTTAGGTAAATGGAAAACAAATGTTGGTAATGAAGTCATGAGATGCACGAGTCTTCAACAGTAAGTGACCATTGCTGTTGCTGTTTCCAACTCCATTCGACCAAGGACTCCCTGCCATGTCTGGTAGTCTGAGCCTACTTTAGCATTAAAGTCTCCCAGAATATTTTAAGCTTCTCCTCTTTTGACACATTGATGACAGTATACCAGCACCATGCCAGGAAACAATCGCTACCATTTGAATCGTCTTAGGAAGATTCTGAAGATCACTAGGCTGGATAAGCTACCCGACGCTGAGGTCCTTTCTTGAGCTAAACTGCCAAACATTCAAACTCTACTGCATTGAATGTAACTATGATGCTCTGGCTACATTGTTCAAATGCCAAATGTATACTTGCCTAAAAGATTATTTTATGGAGAACTCACAGAGGGCAAGCACTGACATAGTGGTCAGAAGAAGTGATGCAAGGACACTCTCAAGGTCTCTCATAAGAACTTTGGAATTGGGGGTAGGTAGGTGGCACAGTGGATAGAGCGCTGGCCCTGGATTCAGGAGGACCTGAGTTCAAATCTGGCCTCAAACACATAACACTTACTAGCTGTGTGACTCTGGGCAAGTCACTTAACCCCATTGCCTAGCCAAAAACAAAACAAAAACAAAAAAACCTTTGGAATTGATTATGTGATTTGGGAGACACCGGCACAGCACTGTCCAACATGGTGTGCCCTCATCAGAAAAGGTGCTGCACGTTATGAGCAAAGCAGAATTAAAGCATCTCAAAAGTAACACAGGATGTGCAAATTTTGAGAATCCACCCCAAATGTTCACACGGACTAGTTGTGCCCGACCTGCGGTAGAGCATTCTGAGCTCATATGGGTCAGATCAGCCACAATCTGACACATTATAACTTGCCTCTAACATAGTGATGTCATTTGGGTACTCTGAGAATGTAGGACAGCAACCACACACTCACACACACACAGAGATATGCGTTGAAGGGAATAATGTCTAAGACAACAGCCAAAGACAGGGGAGCCAAGCTGTTAACCCCTTTAGATGTCAGAGAGAGGCCTACATATTTAACCCTAGAGTTCATAGGGATCCGCTGGAGGTTGTGGGGATAAGGACTGACATGGTTGGACCTGGGCTTTAGGAATTCCAGAAATCCATGATCTCCAACGTTGGCTAAGTAGAGAATCCACAGAATGCATTTTTCTCCTGATAGAAGATAACTCCAGCCTGGGGAAGGAAAGCGCATAAGCATTTACTAAATACCTACCATGTGCCAGGAACTTTATAAATATCCTATTTGATCCTCACAACAACCCTGGGAGGTAGGTGCTGTTATTATCCCCATTTTACATTTGAGGAAACTGAGGATGAGAGAGACAAAATGACTTGCCCAGGGTCACACAACTGGTAAGTGTCTAAGATCAGATTTGAACTCAGGTCTTCCTGACTCTAGTGCTCTATGCACCATATCGCTTAGCTTTCTACTGTTACAGTAATTATTATGAGTACTCTGTCACATGAGAGGCTCAGTTACCAGGAAGGTTATAGTCGAACTGTTTCACTTTCATTTCCCAATGGGTCAGATGACAATTTTAGAAAACAGGCTTTTCAAGCCCTGAAGGTGGCTCTTTTGGGAGGTGTGGTGGTGTTTGTGACCCAGTCATCGTGGGCAGCTCTGTGACCTCGTCATTTAGATTGTGTCCCTAAGCGTGGATATGTTTTCAGAGACAGATAAGAAGACCCTAGATTAAAAGCTGGAAGAGATGTCAGAGCTCTTCAGAGCAACTCCTTCATTGGAATGAAAGGAAGCTCAGAGTGGTTAAGTGCTTGACCCGAAGTTCCACTGGCAGCAACTGGCTAAGCTGGAATTCTAAAGGTAGAGCTGCCTGAGATGATTTCTCTGTCTCCTAGGGAAGTGGCCCTTATTGTCCTTTTCCAGCTCCCCTGGCTCCTCTCAGGTAGGTGGGACCTTGGTGCTGAGCCCCTGCTCTCCTTGCTGCCTTCTTCTGGGAGGGATCTCCTTGCCTCTGGGCCTCTCTGACATTCTTTTTCTTGGCATCTTCTTTGTCTCCCTTTCCTGGTGTGGTGGAATGTTTCAGATCAGAGGATATTGGGAAGAATTGGGTTTGGTCACATTTCCAATTTAGATTTCAATCCTACTAGTGTCTCAGGACCCAGACGAGATTCCATGTCATGTATGAAGCTGCCCTGACAATGGAACCTTTGTGACCTTTCCCTGCTTTCCCTCATTGCATTATTGGTTGTCTTATTTGTTTTATCTTCAAGGGTGCTGGGTCTAGGACCAATGAACCCTGATTTCCCCCCCTTTACCTTTCAATCTGGTTCAAAATCATCTCAAATCATAACCTCAAGGGGGAAAACTTGTCATAAAACAACAACAACAACTTGTTTCCCCCTCTATTTACTGGGTTTTTAAGAATACATTTTTAATGAGTTTTCTTCACAGCACAGTCATCTGAATATGTTTTCTCACCATATCCACACATGGAGATGTGATGTAAGCGGGGGATATGAAGTTGATGGTAGGTCGCCCCAAATTGGGTCATGGGGTCTAACAAGGCAGAGTAACTTTGCAAAGTCTCTGTCCTTGAAACTGGACCATCTATGGGGATTTTGTGCCACTGGGGTTGTGATGTTTACTGTGAAGAGATCACTCATGAAATGAGGTGTGACTTCATCTAAAACTTAATTTACTAATGACTGGACACAACCATCTGCCTCTGCCTCTTATATGCTGGTACCCTTTTTCTACAATGCCTCACATATACAGCACCAGGCAGTCAATAGGTGAACTTCCCCTGAAGAAAACTAGATTGGAAAATTTCAGAAACTTTTGGGCTTCTGAGCCCTCCAAGTCCCTCTGCCTCTTTGGTATCCCCCCTTAGAGTGAATGTTCCACAGTGTGCTCTGCACCAGACAGCATCTCCTAATCTCTGTTGATCATTCCAATATAACACTCGTAGGTAAAATCATGTTTCTCCTTCATGGTACCCAATAATCTTTTCTTTCTCCTTATATGCTTTATGATGCCTCATTACCTACAAAAGCCTGCCCATCTTTGCCACCTTTTGGAATTGCTCTCGTCATTTTTAATCCACTGCCTCCTATTCCCTCAAATTTGTCCTTCTCTTTGGGATTTGTTTTAACTTGGTGAAGGATGGGTTGAAACTGGGAGATATTTGGGTCAGGGAAAGCAAAGAGGCTATTGTAGAAGATCAGATAATGAGGGCCTGAACTAAGATGGTGGCTGTTCTGATAAAGAGAAAAGGACGTATGCAGGAGATGTGGCAACTGAAACAAGATTTAGAAACAAACTAAATATATAGTGTGTATGATAGAGAAGAGTCAGAGATGGTACTGAGGTTTCATCATTCTTTGACTGTAAGGATGATATAGTGCCCTCAATAATAATAAGAAAATTTGGAAGAGGTGTGAGTTTTGAGGAGAAAGATGCTGAGTTTAGCTTTGGACATGTTGAGATTGAAGTGCTTACAGCATATCTAGCTTAAAATTCCTAACAGGCAAATTGTTATTTTGGACTAGAATTGGATATTTATATGTGTGTGTGTGTGTGTGTGTGTGTGTGTATAAAAATACATATATGTATACACACACACGTATATGTAATCTGAATTCAGGTGATAATTGCATCTATTGACGCTAAAGAGATCATAGTGACAGTGTACAGAGAAAAGAGAAGAAGACACAGAACAGAGACTTGGAGAACACACACAGTTAAGGGGCATGAAATTGATGATGATCCAGCAAAGAAGACTGGGAAATATAATTCATCAGAATGCTAAAAGGAGACATAAGACAGAGAAGTAGTGAAAACACAGGAAGTAAGGGTAGATATAAGTGCCCAATGGGGCAGAGAGGTCTAGCAGGATGAGAATTAGGAAGAAGCCATTAGATTTGTTGATGAAGAAAACAGGTCTTTGGTAATTTTGGAAAGATTTTGGAAAGAGAGAGAGGACGTAGAGATACTATCTATAGCTTTTTCAAGGAACTTGGTTGAAATATATAGGAAAGATGGAGGATGGTAGCTAGAAGTGTGATAGGATCATGTGAAGGTTTTTAGAGATGGGGGATACTTTGGTGTGCTTGTAGGGGCATGACCAGTAGAGAAGGAGAGATTGAAGATGAAAATGCCAGGGTGATGATATTGGGAGAAATCTACTAGAAAAGATGAGAGGGATTGGGCTTAAAGGTACATGGCAGCTAGGTGACACAGTGGATAGAGAACCGGCCCTGGATTCAGGAGGACCAGAGTTCAAATTCTGCCTCAGATATATATATATATATATCACTTACTAGCTGTGTGACCCTGGGTAAGTCACTTAACCCCCATTACCTAGCCAAAAAAAAAAAAGAGTACTTTGGAAAAGGTTGGTTTTGGTAAGGAGAAGGGCCACCTCTTTCTTCTTCAGAGAGTGGAACAAAGAAAGAGATTATATCAAGGGGTTGTGAGATGAGGAGGAAGGAAAAGAGAAAGCTCACAGTTAACGACTTTTATTTTCTTAGAAAATTATTAGGTGAGGTCTTCAGTTGAGGCAGTGGTGATGGTACTATGGGAGCCTTAAAGAGAGAAGAGAAGGTTTCAGATAGCCATTGTAGTCAGTGGAATAGTGTTAAATTAGTTAGTTAATAATGTTAATTAAAGAGTAAAAAGATTATCCTGCTGCAGAGAGGGCTCATTTTCTTTTCAATCAGGAATCAGGAAAAAAAGACCCCTCTTTCTGCTGCCACCTTTCGGCTTCTCAAAATAAACTAAATGTCTCCTATTTCCTAATTCGGGTAACATGATATAGAATGATGTCCCTTTGAATTTGGAAATGGGTCCCAAATATGATTACTTTTCACCTTAAAAGAAACCTTGTACTTTTTAATTTCATGGTAGGGAGAGGGGAAGGAAGTTTAAGCTTAAAATTTAAAGGCCAATTCTTGACCAGATTTGAAGGGCCATGATTCATTGCTTTTATTTTACAAATTTAAAACAATATCACCACCAATATCAGGTTGCCCCAGCCCTTAAAGCCACGAAAGAGTGCTGGATCAAGAGCTTGTCTGGTACCATGGCACAATAGCTCTTTGATGCATGAGATCAAAAGGCCTGTAAGGTTGTCTGGGCCTTTTCATTCCTGCAGACCACTTTAAGGTAGGTAATAGGCTCCAGTCTGGACACCATTTCGGCCACTTTCGCTGTAAGTGTTTCTCTGTTTGATGGTTTTACGTATCACATTCAAAGATGAACCCAGGTCAAATGATTTCCTAACATCATCTCTATTTGAAACCTACTAGAGACAAGAACCTTGTCTTCTAAGGAAGAAGATGTCATTCCTGACATGAGATGGAGATGCTCTTAAATGACATAAATGTTTCGTGGTCCTGGTCAACACCGCTAAACAGCAAATGAATAGGAATTCAGGGTTAGGGTCTGACAAGGCTTGAGCCTGGCTAATCAGGGGGTTGAGACAGAATGGCACACTCCACTTTCTGGAATGAGTCCAGTTCTAAATTACCCGAACAACTTGTTGGCAGCCCCTGGGATGTGACCAACTTTCCTTGGTCTTTCAAAACGTGATTTTTATGCATATATTTCCTTTCCCAGGACTTTGTGCACTCACTGCTTGGTTGTTTAGCCATCTGATTACTGATTTTATAAGGTTGTGACTTAATTCAGTATATCAATCAATTCCCTTACCCACATATTATTGTGGGGATTCCTTTAATGTATTGGGTGGACCAAATGGCTGCCAAGGTCCCTTCCAATCCTCACATTCTCTAAGCTTGTCTTCCTGTGAGTGCTGAGAGGAGAAGAGAGCAGAGATTCTCTCATTCAAATTTTGGGCCCTCTCCAGCCACAAAAGCACATATTACCAATGGTTCTGCACACAGTACATTCTTTTTTTTTAAAAAAAATTATACTGATATCTTTAGTTTTTATGTTGATATTGCCTGTATCTCTTTTTTTTTACATTCTAGCATCTCTTTTTCTCCAATTCCCATAGTGCTATCCATATAACAAAGAACATGTTAATGACAAAAAAGCAAAGAAATAAATCAGCCAAAGTGGTCAATAAATTGAAAGACCTTGAAAATATATACAATGTTTCCCACTTGTGGACCACCTGTTCTGGACAGGAGAGGGAGGAATTGTTTTTTTCATATCTCTTCTTTGGGACCATGCCTGTGTTTTGTAATTTTGCAACAGTCACTTTTGACTACTGCGTGGTGATTATTCTTTCTGTGGACTCTGTTGTATTCTGTGTATATAATTTTCTTGATTCTGTTTACTTTACTCTTCATCAATTCATGTAGGTCTGTCTATACTTCTCTGTATTCATCACGTTCATCTTTTTTTCCCAGCACAGTCATATACTATTATATTCATGTGCCATCTTTTTTTTCAGTCATTCCTCAGTTGATAGGCTTCTATAGTAGGTTCTCAATAAATATTTGTTAATGGAATCACTGCTTAATCTACTGGCCATTTTATCTTAATCTTTTAGAGTTTAACTTTTTTTTTAAATTTATTTTTAGTCCCCCCCCCCCCGGCAATTGGGGTTAAGTGACTTGCCAAAGGTCACACAGCCAGTAAATTTCAATTGTTTGGTCTGAGGCTGGATTTGAACTCGGGTATTCCTGACTTCAGGGCTGGTGCTCTATCCACTGCACCACTTAGCTGCCCCTTAGAGTTTAATTTTTCAAAGTCAACTACTTTTTATTCTTCATTTCAAAATTGGCATTGACTTGTCTCCGATGCAATCAAACAATAGTTAGCTTCAAAAAGCTGGCTATATCTACATACCGTTGAATAACTACTTTAAACATGTGGTGGTATTGCTGGCGAGATTTGTTTCACTTTCCAGATTCAACTTTGATCTCTCAAAAGAACATAGCTTGTGATTATAGTTCACATCCAGAAGGTCAATGCAGTTATTTACTTGGGTGGTTTGCCTTATCAGTATTAAGCTATTGGTATGGTGAAGTGGAAGAACTCTTTAATTTTCCATACATTCTTAAAAAAAAAACCTTTCCTAAAACCAAGAAATATAATAAACAAAGTGACTAGTCTTGTAGATAGAACAAATTTTAAAGACATAAATTCATCAGTAGAATTTGGTGCTCTTTTCACAAATTCTTGACTGTTTTCCAACTTTCCTTAATCTAATTTTGGTTATATCTCAGACTTGGTTCTCTGCTTCTTTTTCTTGTGGTTAACACCTCTCTCAGCTGGTCTATATTTCTGTGCCTTCAGTTTTAAGTCCACCTGTACTCAAAATTCCTTCTGGCTTCTCATATGTAGAAGATTTTATTTTTAATGACAACAATCTGCGCTTTAGTCACTTGCCCAATCTGCTTAAGCCAATGCAAAGGGAATGGCTTTATTTTCTTCTACTAACCTAATAATCATTGCATCTTGTTAATCAGCAAAGGTCAGGCAGAGTTAGGATTTGTCTGCCCAGGTAACTAGGAGAATGTGGGACCTATACATTTACCTATCAGGAAGTTAAGGCATAATCTCTGATTCTGTTCTATCTTTTCATTTCGTGGCTCAAAGAAGCACAAAATTAAAACCGTGGAAAGAGGGTCTTGTTCAAGATACAAGTTAATGCTTTTGGTAGCTAGGTAGCACAGTGAATAGAGTACTGGGCTTGGAACAAAGAAAACATGAGTTCAAATCCTGTCTCAGATGCTTAATAGTTGAAAAAATGACCCTGGGCAAATCACCCTTAGTTTCCTCTTCTGCAAAATGGGCATATTAATAGCACCTTCATCACTGTGGGGTTGTTTGGATGAAATGAGCTAACATGTAAAGTGCTTTATACACCTTTATGTCTATAAAAATCTAGCTATTACTGTGGGGGTCTTTTATTGTCCCCCCCAATAGAAAAACCAGTTATTCCTCATAAAACTTTCTAGCTGTAATCACTAGGTTAGTTAAATTTAAAATTAATAGAATTTGTAATTTAAGCAGCTGAGATTACACCCATTAGAGTATTACTTTTACAGACTTGCCTCTGGTTCGATCATTAGGTTTCAAAACAAATGTTTCATTTATCCATTTTTATTAATGCCTTTGGTTTTTATGTCACTTGCATTTGCTAATACATTCCTATATTCTCCAGAGCTAAACAATGAAAGCTTCCCTTATGACAAAGATTTTTTTTTAAAGGGGAAGAAAATAGCTGTTTCATAAAACCTTTGTTCAGTCCTGTCTGTCTGACTCTTCATGACCCCATTTGAGTTTTTCTTGGCAAAGATACTGGAGTGGTTTGCCATTTCTTTCTTCAGAGGAGAAAACTGAGGCAAACAGAGTTAAGTGACTTACCCAGGATCACTCAGTAGTAAATGTCTGAAGCTGGTTTTGAACTGAAGTCTTCCTGATTCCAGGCCAGGTACTCTATCCATGGTATCACCTAACTGCTGCTTAAAAAACCGGTCAGCATATAATATCTAACATTTGTATAGCATAGGTTTGCAAAGTACTTTACACATATCTCATTTGATCCTCTCAACAACCCTTTGAGGTAGGGACAATTGCTATTATTATTCCCATTTACAGATGAAGAAACTGGGGCACAGAAGTTAAGTGACTTTCTTTGGTTCAATCAGCTGGTAAGTATATGAGACAAGATTCAAAGTCAGGTTTTCTTGGCTCTAACTCTAGCCCTCTCTCCACTATGCCTCTTTGCTATATAATTAATTTGCTATATCTGATAGAATATAAAATATTCCACACCCGTTGTCCCCCACCTCTATGGTGAAGGGAGCAAAGTTCACTTTCTCTACTCTTTTCTTGGTCAAAGCCAGGGCACTGTAAATGCAGAGCTTGATTTCATTTTATTGTGCTTCCTAATTATGTTGCTGTCATCTGTGTACATTTGTTTCTTGTTTCTACTTGTCACTATGCATCAGTTCATATAATTCTTCAAGTGTTTCTCCTGTTTTCTTCATATTTGTTTGTTCTCAACAACTAAAATTTCATTATATTCATGAACTCGCAGTAGCTTTATACTTTCCCAACCCATAGACACTTACTTTGTCTCTTTCCTCCCAGATTTTTTCCACCACAGAAAGTGCTGCTGTGACTCTTTTGGCCAACATGAGACTTCTTTGACCTCCTTGAAATGTAGAAGTAGAGTTGCTTCTGGATCAAAAGGTACAGACATTTTAGTTACTTTTATTAAAACATTATTCTGAATTACTTTCCAGAGAGTTGGACCAATTCAATATTTTCTTGAAACCTGTAGCCATCATTACCTTTTCACATATTTTTAATCTTAGTCAATTTGTCTGGTGTCAGGTAAAACCTCAGAATTGTACTGATATACAATTCTTTTATTATTACTGATTTTGAGCAGTCTTTCATAAAGCTGTTTATAATTGCCAATTCTTTCAAGAACAGTTTGTTGTTATTCTTGGCCAATTATCCATTGGAGAATGGCATTTAGTCCTATGTATTTGTGTTGGTTCCCTATATATTTTGGATAGAAAATGTTTACCAGAGATATTTAATCATTTCCCTTTTCATACTAGCTGCATTAATTTTATTTATGCAAAAGTTTTTCAATTTCATGTAATATAATACCTACTTAATCTTTAGTGATTTTCTCTATTTCTTATTTGGTTAAGGCTCCTTACTTAGCTGAGCTACATTTGTGAAAGATGACCCCATTTATTTTCTTCTAATTTTTTTTTATGTTAGAACAAGTTATATGGTATAAGATAAAGGCAGCTTTTAAAAAAAGTTTCATTGTACCTCTTTATGTCCATTTTTAGAGGGGAGTTTTGGTGATGTGTAGGGATAATTTGAATCTCAGGAGAACCTAGCCCACAGAAAATATGACCTGTTTTCTTAGAGTGCTTGACTAGCTTTGCATTCACACTCAATTTTGCTTCTTTTAGTAAATTAACTGGTTTGGTCTGCCAACTGTTCTGACTATTTTTTCCCATTAAAATAACAATCCCGCTGTTAAATTAATGATCTGAAATAAAAAGGAAACTGAGGACAAAGTTACTAAACCATCTATAATTTAATTTGCAAAGAGAGCATTTGCATATCAGATTAGGTCACCTGACTCTTCAGATGTCAGAGACAAAGAGCAGTTTACAGAGCTGATTGTTATAACAGAAAACAGGAATAAAAAAATTGTTTTGAACATAATTCAATTGGACAGGTCAGGTCACCTGACTATTAAGTTTCTCCCAGCCTTTCTTAATTCTACCCAGAATCCTTAATCCTTAATCCCACCTTTCCTTACAGGTGGTATGTTTTGTAACCAGAAAGTCTACTAGGAAAGTGGAGCATGTGGTCAGTAGTTAGCAGTCACTCCCCATTTTCTTTAGAAGATTCCATTACTCAATTTAAATTCTAGCTCACAGAAAAAAAAAAGAGTTTATCTGCTAAGGCTGGAGAAAAGAAGTAACCTCTGGCTGGCCTCTCTCCAGCTTCCTGAGAGGGGCATTTAGCCTCTGGTTAAAGCCCCTTTCTGCCAGAAAGGGAAACCTAGCCTTTAAAAAAGGGTACTTTTATGATTACTTTATTGTATCTTATTCTAAATTATCTGCTACTAAATGCTAAAGTCTTCTCAGTCTGTCTCTTCACTAAATCTATAGATAACATAGATTTAAGAGACTATGTTAGTCTGGCTTAGCTGTTAGGGCTAGCTTTTCCTACATAAGGGAGCTTAATCCTATAATCAAACTAAAAATAAATCGATCATCAATATTAGTGGATTTCTTTTTCACTGCCCTTAGTCTGAATTTTTAGGCTCACAGATCAGTGATCTCAAGGCAACTATTTTTTATCCTGTTTGTCTGGATCCACTTTTCTCTTATGTTTTTTGTTAACTGATAACAATGAGGTTTTGAACTCCCCAACCAGTGAGATCTTTTAGCATGGGAGTAGATGATTATCTCTCAGAGATACTTTGGAGAGGATACTGGCATGGGATGGGTGGTGAAGAGTACATTAAATGACTTTGAAGGTCCTTCCTACTCTAAAGTTTTATTGCTCTTATGTTTCTGTAATCTACAAAAGGTGGAGATTGGTCTCTATTGTGTCAAAAGTATTTTCCATATTAAAAAAAAACCTTTTTGACTTTATGCTTTTCCCACATTCTGCTGCTTTTTATCTTGTCCCTCTCCTAGTATTAACCCTGGTTTTCCCTTGACTCTGCCTCCATTCTCCAGGGAAGTTCACTGTGTTGGGACCACAGGAGCCAATCACAGCCTTGGTGGGTGGAAAGGCTACATTCCACTGCCACCTCTGTCCCCAGAAGGATGCTGAGGATATGGAGGTGAAGTGGTTCCATGAGAAGCATTCGGATCTAATTCATCACTATAAAGATAAGCAGGACCAAATGGAATACCAAATTCCAGAATATAAGGAGAGAACAGAATTCCTTCGAGAGAATATTTCCAGTGGGAATGTGGCCCTGAGGTTGAGCAATATCCATCCATCTGATGAGGGGAAGTATTTGTGTCAATTTAAAAGTCCCATCTATTCTCATGAAGCTGAATTCCAAGTACATGTGGCAGGTGAGTTTGTGGCGGGTGCCAAAGTCCTCACGTGGAAGCAATAGCTATGGGGAAATTTGCTTCTGGGGAATACAGGCAGCCCTATCCTGCTACAGAGATAAAACAGGGACATCCAACGTTAAAGGCAATGTTGCCTTGTTCCTGGGTCAGACCAGCAAAAGGGGAGGGTGATCCAAAGGGGAAGATCCTATTCTGGAAAGTAATGGTCCATTCCAGTCAGAGACAAGTAGTTCAGATGAAGAAATGGAATGCAATCTGAAGCAAATACTTAAGTTAGATTCACTGGGGTAAGCTTTCTGGGAAGCTACTTGAAGTGAGAATAATGGTCAAATCAGGGTGAATTTCCAGCAGTTATTGAAATGGTATTTTGGCTAATGTGCTAAACTGATGGATAATTATGCCCATGGTTTGGGTTGATCAGTTTAAAGATCCTCTGAAGACAAAAACTAAACTAAGCCTGCCCTCAAGTAGTTTACATTTTGCAGCAAATATATTGATAAGTAAACATAATTTATATACAAAGTAGAAAGTAATTTCAACGTGAGAAGAATGACATGTCTGGATCTCTGTGTTAGGAAGTGAATTTTGAGATCTGGGTGCAGGACAAATTGAATTGGGAAGAGATTAGAAGAAGAGAGATTAATTTGGGGGGGCAAGATGTGATAAGGGCCTGAACCAGGGTAGTGGCCATGGGAAGATGGAGAAATGAATTAATATAAGAGATGTCATGGAAGTAGAATAAAAAAAAATGGTGACTGGATGTGGGTAGAGAGTGAAAGGGAAGAGTAAAGAATGATATAGAGTTTGAGTTACTCAACTTAATTGACCAGAAAGAGTGCTATTCTTGACAGAAATAGAGAAGTCAGTGATAAGGGTGTGTTTGCAGGAAAAGATGAATTCTGATTTGAACATGCTAAGCTTGACGTTCCTAAGGGACATCTAGATGGAGATGTCTGTAGGTGATGTGGGACAAGTGGTCAGGAGAGAGACAAGGACTGGGAATGTATATTTGGGAGTCCTCTGAATAGAGTGACAACTTAATTCTTGGGCACTGATGAAATGTATTGAGGAGAAGAGAGTATATAGAGAGAAGGCCCAGGATAGAGATCTGGAGCACACCCATACCACAGAAGAAGTTACCGAAAAGGAGATTGAGGAGAGGAGGAATACTACAAAGATCCAAGTACCTCCCCGCCCCCCCCAAATGGTATCTGGGAGGATAGGATGGTCAACATCATAAAAAAAAATATAGGATGAGGACTGAGAAAAAGCCATGAATTTACCAGTAAGAATTTGTTGGCAGCTCTAAAGAACACAAATTCAGTTAAATGTGGAGGCTGGAAGTCACATTGCATGGTGTTGAAAAGTCCATGAGGAAATGAAGGCAAGTCCATATGTCCTGGTGCATGATTGCAGAAGGGAGGAGAGAAAGAATAATCTCTTGAAGGAACAGGACATAGTAATGAAGACCACAACTTCCCTCAGTTTCAACTGGGAGGATACAGGTTGAAGCTGCAAAAAGCTTTTACCAGGGAAAGGGTACAGTATTGTGTCCCTACTTACCCCTTTCTATACTATATAATGCAGCTTCAAGCTTCAGGAAACTCATAGACTGTGTGAATGTGGAGATGAGAGGATGGGAGATTGTCACAGCAAGGCTTTGGGGATCCTGTTGTTATTTGCATAGATGCATGATGCTTAATATTTCTGTCCATACCTAGGAACACAATCTGCACAGAAACCTAATTAGATGTAGATAGCCATGATTTTATTCACTGCCTACTCTTTTCAGTGCATGTGCTCACAAATGTGCACAGACATACATGTGTATATATTTCACGGACATTGGAAGGGAACCCTCAAAACATCTAGTGCAACTCTACCTGCCCAGGAATCTTCCCTCCAATGTCCCTGAGAAGTGATCATCTATTCTTCTCCCGAATATCTTCAGAAAAAGAGACCCTACTATCAACTGAGGCAGATTGCTTAATTTTTGGACAGCTTGCATTGTTACAGAACTTTTCTGAAATCTTCCTCTATACAACTTCCACCTATTGCTTATGCTTCTGGGACCTAGCACAACAAATCGAAGTACTATTTAATGGCTCAGCCCTTCCAGTGTTTGAAAGCAGTGATCTTAATCTCCCTGTGTTTATTCTTCAGTTTCTTAAAACCATTTTCTTCTTACCCTGGACAGTCCTTTAATACACTCCCATTTGGTGAAATTTTTTCTGAAATTTACCAAACTGAATGAACCATTTCAGATGGAGTCTCTCGAAGCCTTTGCACTGACCTTCTTAAAATGTCTTTTCTCCTCACTTCTCTTTCAAAGAATCCTTTTCTTTTTTTCAAGTATCATCTTCTCAATGGGGCCTGCCCTCCCTTCCAGATTTCGTAGTACTTAACTTCCTGCTTTTTACTCTCAATTAGTTTGTTCATTCATTCATTCATTTGTTTATATACTCATCTATCCATTTATTTATTCAGTCATTCATTTATCTATTCATTCAGGTGCTTAAGAGTAAACATTGTCTCATTTCATTCAGTATATTTGTTTCACCAGTGCCCAGCAGGGTAGCTCTCATAGTATAGGTGTTTAATAAATCTTTGTACCTTGACTGATTCAGTGTTTCACTGTTAACTCATATGAGGTTTCCAGTCACTCAGTTCCCTGGCCTTTCTTAAACACAGTGGCCGGTCAGGTGTCCCTGCTTTTGTATTTGTGCAGCTGAGTTTTGGAATTCCAGTAAAGGCCTTTATAGTTCATTATTTCATCTGTGATGTCACCATTTCTGCCTGCTGCAATCTGTTTGCATCTCAATACTGCTACAAAATATTAGCTATGTCTGTCATTTGTGTCTCATACCCTCTCCATCTCTCTGAAATGTCTTTGTCTATGTTTCATTTATCAGTGTACCTGTAGTCTTCTCCCACCTCTCTTCCAACATATATTCCTTGAGGACGGGGACTTCAGCTGATTTTGGCTTTGTGTTCCCAGCACTCGGTACAGTGCCTGACATATAGCAGGCACCTAATAAGTTCCTATTTAAATTAAAAAATTCTACCTCCCTCATTGGATAGGTATGCCACATACAGTGGTGTAGATATGTGCAGTTTTTTTCATCCCATATTTTCCCGTTTGCAACAGTTGCAAAACGTACATAGTTAATAAGATAATTAAAAATCATTGTTTGCATGGAAATGACCTCCAATCTGCTGTGTTTCTCTCTCCTAGGAATTGGCTCAACCCCTCACATACACACCAACTTTAATGGAGCGGATAGGCTTCGGCTGACATGCACATCTACAGGCTGGTATCCAAAGCCTGAGGCACAGTGGAGGAACATTTATGGGGTGCCCTTGTTACCAATGTCGAAGAACATTAGGCAGAAGGACGATGGGCTGTTCTCTGTAGAAATGTCGATCGTGGTGTCATCCAGTTTAAAAGAAACCATCTCTTGTTTCATTTGGAACCCCCTCCTCAAGCAAGAGAAGGAAGCAAAGTTGATTCGGGAAGGTCAGTTCCATCCCTAAATACCAGAGCTAGCCTTGTGCCCAGAAAGAGCAAAATGTAGGCCCTAAAAAGAGCGGGAAAGCCAGACCCCTCTAAATGTTTCACATAATCATGGGTCATAGTGTCTGACATTTCACTATCAGGAAATGTAGGATCTCAACAATGGAAGACACTCCAGAAATTCTCTGGTCTTAAGTGGCAGAGTCTGGATTCAGATGTATCTTTAGAATACAAATCCACTTCTCTTTTCAATATACCAGGCTGCCCCTTCCTTTGGCTTCCTACCATTCAAGGGTACTGAGACTCTGGGGCTTTACATTAGCAAGGAGGCTCCCAGGACTGGAGGCCGTTCACATTCCCTTATTGCTGAGGGGAGCTGTGTTTGCTGTTCGTCAACTGGCCTAACCATTTCCAGTGAACCCATAGAAGCAGATTGAACAAGGGCACATATTCACGTGGCTTCATCTGCTCCCTAAATGCTCCCCCCATTTTCTCTTTATTGGTCAAAGCCCCTCTTCTCCCACTGGTGAATTCCTTCTGGGGCCTCTGCTTTGGGGGCAGGGTCAGGCTGGCCATGCTTCATTTACCCTCCCAGTCATGCCAAAATCTTTAAGAATTGTTGAACCATGACTCAGCTGTCCTCTCACCTTGGCATTTTCCTTATCACCTGGGACCTTCTCTTCTTGTGATATGTTTGCCATACTACATTTCCCCTACTCCATCCCCTTTCAAGCTTCCCTTTATGTGTTTTCTTTCACCACTAGAATGAAATGGACATTGTTCTGAAGACCAGAACTGTCCTTCTTTTTGCTTCTGTTTCTCTCTTCAGCACTTAGCACAAAGCCTGACAGGTGTTGTTGTTCAGCTGATTTTCACTCATATCTGACTCTTTGTGACCCAACTGGAGGTTTTCTTGGCAGAGATATTGGAGTGGGTTGCCATTTCCTTCTCTGGCTCATTTTACAAATAAGAAAACCGAGGTAAACAAGATTCAGTGACTTGCTCAGGGTCACACAGCTAATAAGTATCTGAGGTCAGATTTGAACTCAGAAAGATGAGTCTTCCTGACTCCAGGCCTGGCACTCTATGCACTGTGCCACCTCGATGCTTGGTGTTTACCTGCCTGCCTAAAGATACGGACAGGAACAATGTGTCATTCTTCACCCCTGAACTTCTGAATTGTGGGCTACATAACAGTACACATGCATTAGGAGCATTTACCAACATGGGGGCGAGAGAGAGTTAGAACATGAGCAGTGCACTGAATTTGGAATCAGGGAGACACAGGTTCAAATTCTGCCTCAGTATTTGCCCTAACTATGTAACTCTAGGCTAGTCACTTAACCTCTCTCTGGGCTCCAACTTTCTGATCTGTAGAATAATGGAACCAGACATTCTGAGGTTCTTTCTGGCCCTACAATCTGTGATAATTCTACTCCCAGTAATGCTGATTCTGCCAGGCCTCTTATAGGGCATGCCTATTTAGTAATAGCCCCTGGAGGAGGGTACATGGAATACAAGGGTCATTATACTGTTGATCATATAAACACAGAGCAGGACAGACACATTCAAGAATCCTAGGCCAGTCTTGCCATCCTGACTCCCTACTAACTCTCCTTCTTTTGACCTTACCCTACCCCAATTCAACAAACATTTCCTTGTTTCTTGAACTGGTAATCTTCAGGAAGAAAAAGAGCTAGCTTCAGATCAATTGGTAGTAACTATAGCATCTCTCCCTCTTAATTAGAGTTGTTGGAGAGAGACTCCATTTGGCCAAATCATAGGTGACATCTTAATAAGTCACACCAGCTCCCTTCTTGGGCCTATGTATAGGCTGCCTTCCCTGTTGTGCTAACAGCAATGCAGAGGAGAGTAGGGCATCTGTCTGCATAAGCTCAGGAAGACCTCAGGGCCAGTGTTCCGACCAGGGAATCAGGGTACTGTGAAATTAGGATTTCTGGGCTCTAGGTCCACCATATGCGAACCTTGGGTAAAGCTCTAGAACTGCTTGGGCCTCTGTTTCCTCATCTGTTAAATTAGGATTTTGCTCTAATCGGTAAGGCCTCTTCAGGCATCAACTGCCTATAACTCTGAGATTTTTTTTTTTTAGATAACTTGCTTCCAGAGACCTCTTCTGGGATAATCCCATTGTTGATCTGTGTATTTATTGCTGGAATTTTCCTATTCTTCACTTATTATGATGACATTCTACAAACAGTCCAAGGTAAAGGGATAAATGGTGGGTAGGTTGGGCTTATTTTACAATGCAATGGGACCTAGAGAAGATTATGAACTGTCTGAGTCATTACTTGCAGTTTATTCTTGGTTTGACATTAGGGGGATCAGTTCAGATTACGAGAAACCCATTGCAAATCCAATTTGATTCTAAGTGGATACCTGTAGGTGGGGTGTATTAACGGTATCTTACGGGAACTTTCAGATGCAAGCTAGATGTTGTTAGACGTAGGCTTCAGATGGAAGATGAGTGTTGGAGCTGAGCTTTGGAGGAAACCTGAGAATCTTGGAGGGGAAGAGGGACAGTGTAGGTAAAGGTACAGAGATGAGAGATAGAACGTTAGGCACAGGGAATGAAAAGAAGGCCAATTTGGCTTCGTGAAAGAGATCAGGATGCAGTAAGCTTGGAAAGGTAGGTTGAAACCTATTTAGTAATACAGGCTGATGAATTCATTCTTCCTCACATTTTTCCTGAATGGTCATAAAATAGACAGTAGATAGCAATAGCACTGGCTTCATAGTGTCATTGTGAGGATCAAATGAGATAATGTGGCTTAAAGTGCTTTGCAAACCTTAAAAACACCACATAAATACCATTATTATTATTAAATATCACCATCATTATTATTATGCATTTGTGGTCCCAATAACAAAGTCTAAATACTAATGAAGGAGCATAGACACATATTTTTTCACTTAATTATAATTCAGAGCAGATTTTATTAAACTATGTGAAAATATCCATCTCTCAACATTACTAATCTATTGATTTTTAAAATAAGATGATAAGTGGTTCCTATTAAATTACTTTTGATTTTATTTCTCTCAGCACTAAGAGCCTGGATGCAAGATTCCTTTGAATAATTCTGGAGATTTTCTGGATCCTGGAGAGTATTAGGGGAAGACAATGAAACAACATGAGTAGCTGATGTTAAGAGCCTTTAGAAGTCCTTTGAGGGACTATCTTTGCTCTAGCCCGGAAGCCAGCTAATTGATTGACACTGATCTCGGCCATGTATTTTCTCTTTTGAGATTCATAACAGGACTATGAGATAGGTCCTAGAGACATCGTGATCATTTTCTAGTTGACTCATCCATGGTCACGCAGATAAAAAGTGTCTGAGGTGTAATCTGAACTTCAGTCTTCTCTGAGTCTGAAGATTCTTTTCCTTCTTTCCTCCGCTCTGGTGCTTCATACAATTTGGTCAAACTTGCATCTAACTTGCCAAAATCCATTCATCATTTCAATCCAACTCGATAGGCGTTATTCTATCACCCATTTTCATGCTCATGCCTTTGAATAGGTAGTTCCGCATACCTGGAAGTCACTCCACCTTCACCCCACCCTTTCAGTGGAAGCATTAGATTGAATGGGAAAGATTAGTTGGGGAGATAAAGATGATGAATTGATTAATCAACATTTTTTAAGCACCTACTAGGTGATAGGCACCATGTTAGGCCTGGAGATACAAAATTACCTCCCCTTGAGAAATTTACATTCTCTCAGGGCAGACATATACTTGCATATGAACATATATACATACCTACTTTCATACTTACACACATACATTTACACACTTGTAGAATGAGTCAATAAATATTTAAGTACTTACTATGTGCCAAGCATTGTGCTAATCCCTGGGGATACAAATATGAAAAAGAGAGTCCCTGCCCTCAGGAAGCTTACAGTCTGATGGGGGAAGACAACACATAAAGAAAGATGATGAGCATGTAGGGGAAGGAGAAAGTACTCAGCATGGAGGCATGACCAAAACCAAAAAAGTCCCCTATGAGTACAGCCAGAGGGAAAAAAAAAGAAGTCCAAAATGAGTGCAGCCAGGTAGGAAACGAGGAGATGTCTGTACTCTATCCCTTCCGTAAGTGGAATGTGAAGAGTTCATGGCTCCTCCCTCTCCCTTCTCCTCAGAGGGGGAACCATACTGGTGAGGTCTGAGTCAGCAGTCCCTGATTGATTGGATCTTTCAAAATGATGAGATTTTCCAGTAATGAGTTTACTGGGTGCTTGGTGGAAACATCAAAGATGTCCAAAATGGGTGCAGTGATAGAGTTAATGGGGAATAAGTTGAAGAGATAGAATGGAATGGAGAGGGGAGAGCAAAGATTTGCAGGATCCTAAGCACCTCTCATCTCCTATCTGTGCAACCAACCAAGGCCTTTAATGATTTCCTTGTTAGGGTTCGTACATTTAGTGCACTTGTCTTCTATTATGTCTAACCCTCAAGGTGCTGGATATCATACTGCAGACTAATCAGGTAATAATATGTAAATACCCACCCATAGTTATATGATAAATTGCATGGTGTAGATTATAATTGCAGGGAAATACAGATCAGGGTGAGCTTGGTTGGGTCAGAGTCCAGAATATTGGGCTGTAAGTCTTCAGACTTGGGAAGTTTGCATAGGCCATCTGTTTTCTCCCATGCCCCAAATGATAAATCCACAATATCTTTGACCAATGGCTATTTAATTTCTGCTCATAGAATCCAGTGTCGGGGAGTTTATTGCCTTCTGAGGTAGATAAATGCCTCCAAATTTTGCACACTCACAGAATCACAATGTGTGTAAATTGAAAGAAACACCTGATATCATTCAGTCCAAAAGGATGACTTCTGTAAGAGACTTGATTTAGTCTGCATTAGAAGGCCTCCCATGAACGTGGACTGAAGGCTGCTGAAGGCAGCTCATGCTACTTTGGGACAAGCTCCCTTGAACAAAATATTAAGGAGAAAAAAAGACTTGCATAAGGTTCTTCCAGTTGAAAAAGTAAAAGCAAGGGAGCAATATACACAATAAACGGCAGTGTAAATATGGTGAAGACTGAACATCGCAGGTACTCTGGCCAGAAACTGCTGACAGCACCATTACTGTCTTGCCAAAGTTAAAGGGCAGATCTTTTCTTTCAGCTAATGATCCATAAACTGAATCTTTATTTGTGGGATGGGTGAATGTTTGTTGGGAAATTGACTCATTCCTTCACTTTTCCCCAGATACTCTTCAAACCATTTCATGATATCTTTTGTTTTTACATCATTTATATTCCCCACTGTTTCTCTTCCTCCACCCCTTCCCAGGTGGTCTTATAATAGCTTGAACTTACAATAACTACCTCTTATAAGCTAGAACCCTACGGTTTTCAAAGTACTTTACAAATATCAGCTCACTTTATTCTCACAACAACCATGTGAGGTAAGTGTTATCATTACCTCTATTTTACAGATGAGGAAATTGAGGCCGATAGAAATTAAGTGATTTTTCCAGGGTCACACAGCTAGGAAATATCTGAAGCCATATTTTAACTCAAACCTGTCTGACTCTAGGTCAGGAGTTGTATTTATTAGCTCATTCATTATCTTTCCAACCTTATCTCTCTGTTGATTTTGTTTTTCTTTTCAAAATGTCAACTTCTGAGCTCACTTTGGTGTTATTTGCTTTGGTGGTATTCTAGTTTTTTTTTTTAAGTTTGTGTTTTCTTTTTTTCTCCTTATATGAATTTTAATTTACTACCTAACTGCCTCATAATAAAGAATTTTTTAAAAAAGGAGGAAAAGATTCAATAAAACTTAATGAGCACATCAATGTTTAATTTAATACACAGTGTTCTACATCCATGGCCACCCTCCTCTGCAAAGAAGGGCTAGGGAGGAATCTTTTTGTATTTCTTTTCTTGGGCCAAACTTAGTCATTTTCATTTATAGGAATTCTCAACTTTAAAAATGCCAACTAACATGAGTCTTTCCACATACACAGAACAGGGAGAGGAGGAAGAAAGAATATGTAGAAGGTAATAAGTGACTTCTCATTTATACTGACATGCAGGATAATTCTGACAGCATTATGTGCATCAAAGAAGGAAACGTAGAGGTGCCCTCTCTCTCTTTGCAACTAGAAGAGTCAACAAAATTCTGATAAAATTCAATGGACAATATTGGTTTGGTATTATCACCTATCAAAGTTAAAAGAATAGGATTTCTTTTGGTTAGAAATCAATAACCTTTTTCTTTTTTAACTGAGGAGTAGACTTGGGCATTTTTCAGAAGCACTAATTTTGTCAAAGCAAAATTTATCAATAAATTAAGAAAAATGTAAAAAAAAATTAAAAAATGTGTGACTGAAAAAAACACTTCAAAAGCAGGGAAAGTATAATTAATTAAATTTAGTGATGAAGGATCTAAGCCACCATCTGGTTCAATTCAAAAATTGAATAGATGAAGAAAATGAAGCCAAGAAAGGTGACTTTCCTAAGGTCACAGAGTGGCAGAATTTAGATAAATTCATTTCCAGAAGCACAGAGGAACAGTTCAAGGTCTTTGAAGGAGAATCAGATCTAGAAACCAGTGTAAAATCAAGAGCTGACTACCTCCTTCTTTCTCCTCCCTCCCCCCGCCACATACCTTTTTTTTTTTTTTGGTGTGAGGCAATTGGGGTTAAGTGACTTTCCCAGAGCCACACAAGCCAGTGAGAGTTAAATCTTTGAGGCTGGATTTGAAGTCAGGTCCTCCTGACTCTAGGGCCAGTGATCTATCCACTGCACCACCTAGGTGCCCCTGCCCCCCAGATACTTTTAAAGATAAACTTGGTGAGTTACATATTTTCACCATCATTATACAAATATAAATGGGGAGACTAGATGCTATGGAAAAATTCTCATCTCTTTGTGTTGTTGCTTTCAGAAAAAAAGAAAGTCCTGAAGGAGTCAAAAGATTGCCATCTTAAAAATTGAGTGGGTCAGTCAGACAGTGAGTCAACAAACATTTAAGAGCCTACCATATGCCAGGCACTGTGCTAAGTGCTGGGGATATAAAGATGGAGAGTCATGCTCAAGAAATAGCATGTAAATCATTATATGTGTATTATAGAGAGATGGAGGAGAGTAACACATAATAAGATGGGGGGATAGGTTATGAAGAGCTTTAAATGCCCCCAGAAGGACTTTATATTTTATCCTAGAAAGAAGAAAAAGATAACAGTGAGGCATATCAACATTACTGAGACATGGTTGAAAGCGTCATACCTCTGAAGACTCATATCAGGAAAAAAAAACTCAACATAAACTTCAAAAAACCCCATAGACAACCAACAAAACAAGAAACACGAAGGCAAGCCCAGAAGTAGCCATTTTGAGAGTTTCAATGGAGAGATAAAGTTGAAAAAATCATCTAACTAATATACTTAATCATTTAGCTAAATACAAGAAATGACTAAAACTGAAAATGTATGTGAAGTGGATGAATATGTAGAACAATATGAAATATAAAAATTAGCAAAATAGAAAATAAAGGCTCTAAATAGCCAAATATCTGAAAGAGAAACCAAGCTTGAGGAATTCCTGAAGAAAACTCTTCTAGCCTGGATTTATTTAAAATGGAATTTTATTAGACATTTAGAGAACAATAATTCCTAGGCAACATGGAGGAAGAAGGAACAAAGGGTTATAGATTTAGATCTTAAAGAGACTAAGGATCTAGTCCAGTCCCCTCATTTTACCTGTGACAAAGCACAGTGTGGCAATAGTTTAAAAGATATTCAAATTTAGAGAAAAAAATTGATGATTGGGAAGTGACTTAGAAGACAGGCATCCAGTAGAAGTTGCCTTATCAAAGGATTACAAATTGAAAGTTATTGGAGACCTTAGAGGCCATTTAGACCAATCCACTAACTTCATAGAGGAGAAAAGAGAGGCATAGAGAGATTAAATTACTTTCCAGGTCACAAAGTTGTTAAGAATTAGAATTGAGATGGATTCATCCATTGTAAGAAGTATGAAGAGTATAAGAGATTATCTCATCCAATATCTTCTTATGTTACAAATGGAGAAACTGAGGCCCAGACAAGGGAAGCGACATACTAAAGATCACAAGGAGAATTTGTAGGTGAACCAAACATAATAATAATCAGGTCTTCTAACTCTGAGTCCCTTGTGTATTCATTTATATTAGTTAATTTGGATACTTGAGAAAACAGAAAAGCAAATGAGGTGGCCATAATATAAAAAAAGGATAATGACAATTTTTCTCACTTTTATTTTTATAGGCACTCTTAAAGGTGATCTTGGTGAGTTATACTTTCTTGTTCATAATCCAATATATAAAGTGATATGACATACCACTGGATAATGATCATTTCACTATGTTATAGATTTTGGAGAAAAGAAAACTAGAGACAAAATGGTTGTATCCCTAAATGAGTGGATCAAAGAATAGATCACACAAACAACAAACAATTTTATTGAGTGAAATAATGACGATGAATCAACATACTAATATTTAAGGGATGTAGCTTAGGCATGTCTTAGAGGAAACTTTATAAATCTTAACATCCTTATTGTCAAAAGAAAGAAAGAGCAAACAGTTAAAAAATTAACAAATTTATAAACCCCAAACAAAACACAAGAAAAATAATATTGAAAACAAAATGACCATTAAAATGTTAGATAAAACAAACATCTGTTTTCTTGAGATCATTATGATCTGTGAATAATTTGATAATTTTATTTCTTTTAAAGAGAGAGATGGAAACTAATTGCCAAGATCAATAATAAAGAGGGAGAATTTCTAAACCAACTGAGAAGGTATAAAGAAAATTATTAGAAACTATAGTACTAAATTATATCCCAACAAAATGGAAGATTTACCTGAAATAGATGACAATTTGGAAAAATGCAAAATATAAAAATGAACAGGAATTTGTAATAGAGAGCTCAAATATTCATACATCAGAAAGTGAAATCAAGCTAAGTAATTTCTCCAAGAAAATATTTCAAGTTCAGTCAGTCCAAAAATATTTATTAAGTTCCACAAAAGGGAAGAGAGATATGAGATGTTAGCTAGTGGAGATGAATGGATGAAGTGAGGTTGTTTTGAGGAGACATGAACGTGTTTGTAGATGGTAGAGAAGCAGCCAGTAAGCAGGAAGAGATTGAAGGTAAGTGAGGGAGTGGGAATGGTAGAGGGAGTAATCTGTTGGAGAAAAAGATGGAATGGAATTATTTGTAATTATAGAGGGGTTTTCCTTGGCAAGGAGAAAGTCTGCCTCTTCATGTGAGACAGGGGTGAAGGAGGAGATAGTTGGGAAAGGCATCTAAGTCATATGAGAAGAAGAGAGAAAAGGGAACTCTGTGAATGGCCTCACTTTTTACAGGCAAAATTCGCAGGTGAGGTGGGGGGAAAGGGAGATGTGGAAAGTCTGGCAGTCAACGGAAAAAGTTTGAAACAGCTGCTGTGGTCAGTGATACAGTGAGTTTATTAAGGAGGTGTAGAGAGATTGCCATGTAGCAGTGAGGGCCCAGTTGAGGTTATGTAACATAAATTTGTAGCGGATCTAGTCAGCACAATTATATTATTTTTCTCCGGCTTTTCTCCCCCAGCACATGAGCAGGAGCAAAGGCTGTGGATGGTAGGAATAATCCATTGTTGAGGTTAGACAGGGCAAGGTCCTTGAGAGGATAAGTATACAAAGAATAAATGAGAAAAAGACCATGTAGAGTTAAACTAAATCACCAGGGGTCAAGATTGAGAAAGGAGGAGAATTTAGCCAATGCAGGGGTGATGGCCTTGGAAAAAACCAAGGCATAGAAGGATTGAAGGTCACGGGGAGAATGAACAATGAGGTTTGGGGTTTTGGGGCAGAGGGAGAGGTGGAATAACCATTGCTTGTGATCTGATAAGGGAATTTCAGAGGTTATAAACATAGAAGTGGTACATTCATGGGTGACAGCAAGATGAAGGGTATGATCATTTTTGTGTAGCTGAGGTAGGGTGGGGAAGTAGGTCCTGTGAAATGAGAATATTGAAGAACTGGGAGGTTAGGGTGAATACTCCCTCAATATTTGAGGGAATATCAATATGTATGTTGAAGTCCTATATTATGAGGGCAAGAGTTGGCGAGACAGGAAGGAGGGTAAGGCAGTCACTGAACTGATTGCAAAAAGAAGGAAAGTGTCCTGGAGGCCAATAAACAGAATTTTCTTGCATGGTAAATCTGGACTGAGTGAACCTAAAAGGGAGAAGTTATTGAGAGTGGTCGTGGAGGATAGCCTGGACATGGCAGTGGGGAACAATTAGTATTCTAACTGTCCCACCTCAACCAGTGAGTTGGACAAATGAAGGAAATGTGTTTCCAGTGCTGGAAAGGGAGACCAAGAAAACTGTAATAAGGAGGGAGCCATTTTTTCTGTGGGAGACAAAAATGTGGAAGGAGTGTGAAAGGAAAAGTTTTAAAATGAAAGCACATTTGTTACCTATGGAACAAGCATTCTAGAGAGCACAGTGAAAGGGTTTTGTAGTTTTAGAATGAAATGTTGTGGGAGTTGGGTTAAGGATGATGGGAATAAGGGAGTGGAGTGTGGGTGATGGAGAATGAGATTTGAATGATTATAGTCTCCGGTTCAGAATCACTAGGAAGAGAAGAGTATGTGATAGGGTGGATGCTTATTAATCATTGATAAATTAGTTCAGTTAGATTATCAATATTCCTCGGAGTTTTCCTTCAGAGTAGAATCCTCTTAGGGCATCAGTCAGCGTAGGGGAGGGGACTAGTGGGGGAAACAGATGGATTGTTTTTTTTTTTCCCTTGCAGGCTGTCCAGGACAGGCCAGGAGACCATTGGAGGGAGCAGGATGGGATGGCACTTTTCTCCTTCCATGCACGCAGGAGCAGGCTAGTCCAGGAGATATGCAGAAGGAGCAAAGAGGAATAGCATCGATCTCTCTTCTTGGCCATCATGAAGAGGCCCAACCAGGAGACCAGAAGGAAGTGGAATGGAATCTCTCTCCATCTCCTGATATCTTGAAGAAGCCAGGTTAGGAGTCTGGGGCAGAAGGGAATGACATCTCTCTTCCTTTTCTGCAATCAGGAAGAGTTGAGATGAATTTAAAATTGAATTCTGTTGAACACTATAAAAATAAATCATTCCTAAGTTACATGGACTAAAAAAAAAAGAGAAGGCATTTTATGAAACTCCTTCTATAACACAAATTTATTGTCCTGATATACAGACCAGGCAAAGATAAAGTAGCCCCCCAAAAGTAGAACTATATCAGAAATGAACATTACTATAAGAATACTAATTAAAATAAGACAAAAGAGGCTATAGCTGTGTATTCAAGAAATTATTTATACTTACCAAGTTGGATTTATGCCAGAAATACAAGGATGATTCAAATCTAGGGAAACTGAAAACATAATCATATTAATAGCAAGCACAATAGAAATTAATTTTGTTATGAATTATTAAGACACTCAAAAATCCTTTTAGAGAAAATCATCCAAAAGCACAAAAATTTAAAGATCTCACAATTATATAAGTATGTAAAACCAAACACTAACATAATTTGTAACACATAAATACTAGAAGCATTCCCAGTGAGATCAGAGATGATACAAGGATGCCCACTCTTTCTATCATTATTTCATTTAGTTCTAGAAATGCTATTTTTATGCAAACAGAAAAAAATAACAATGGAATCAGGACAGTCAAAGAAGATGTAAAAATGACCTCTTTATGGATTCTAGAGAAACAAAGAATCAAGGAAAAAGCCAAAATGATCGAAAACTTCAAAAAAAGTATCGTAGATACAAAATCAATTAATCAAAGAACATTTATTAAGCCCTACTAAGTTCTAGGCAACATGTCAATCTAAACTAATCATGTCTTTCTATATATTACTAACAAAACCCAGTGGGAAGAGATAGGACAAAAATTCTATGTAATTAAAAAGTGTACTAAGATACATGAAGATTATATAAATGCAACCAAAAAGCATTTTATAGAAATAAAAGAAGATATAAGATATAAGAAATAAAAGAAGAACACTAAAAATTTGGGAGCTATTCAATCTTTAGGATTGGGCTTTGCCAGGATAAGAAAAATGACATTACTATAAATAGTGGTTCTCAAACTTTCTTAAAAATTATTATAAGAACACAAACTATGTTTTTTTGTTTACCACAAATTTGTGAGAAACAGGAAATGTATCTGGAGAAAAATATCTTTAGATCAACACAGTATGCCTTATTAACATACTAACAATATATAAATAATATTTATGTAGTATAGAGAAAAATGAAAGGTTATATAACTTTTAAGTTTTTGAGAGGGAAAAATTCATAAGTAGACTTTATAGAACATAAAAATAAGAGACAAACTCATTTTTTTTCACACAAAGAAAATCATTGTGACTAGAATCAGAAGAAAAAATATGGTTTCAAAAGAAGCTTTTTGTTTGGTATATCTGAAAAATGTCTAACGTACAAAATCTATGAGGAATTGATACAAATTGATAAGCTATCTCATATAGACAAATAAAGGATATAAACAAAAAGTTTTCAAAAGAAGAAATACCAGCTAGCATCAATTATCTGAAAAATGTTTAAAAGCAATAGTAATAAGAGAAGTACAAACTGAAAGACCACTATGCATCACCTTAAGGCCACGTAGTTAGCAAAGAGGAAAATTCTTCATTGGAGAGTCTGTAGGAAGACAGGAATCATAATTAAACAGTGGAAGAGTTGTGACTGTGTTCCACCTCTTCTGGAAAGCAATTTGGAATTATTCAAGGAAAGTTATTCAATTGTCCATAACCACTTGACTCAGAGACTTCACTAATGAGTCTACTGAGAGCAAGAAATGACCATATCAAGGTTTTTGTAGCAGCAATATTTGTGATAACAAAATATGTTTCTAACACTTGAAGAATGGCTGAGGAACTGTTGTAGCTCAATGTAATAGAATAACACTGCTATGTAAAAAGGAAGATAAATGAAGAATTTAGAGAAACTGCATGAAATAATGAATAAAGAAAGCAGATAAAAAAATGCAATGATCACAAGGTAAACAAAGTCACTAGCCATTTGAAGGTAAGAAAAGTTGGCTATAGATGTTAGTACCATACTACTAAATTTAAAGTACTTCCATTAAAAATATTAATAATAGACAAGCAAAATATTTAATTCTTGAGAGAGAAGGATTTGGAAGTGGGTTTTTTTTGGTGTATCAATACATTAGCATTTTTTTAAATAGTGGAAAAAGTATTGAATTTAGAAAAAAGAATAAATGGAAGGAACATTTGAAGATTTTAAAATGATGGGGAAGCAATGGGTAGATAGGGAGAGAATGAAAATAGGAGAGAATGGAGACACTAGGCAGATAAGTTAGTGGAGAAAGTGGCAAAGAACATCAGTCATTCAGCCGATTAGCAGTTTTGTCCACCAGTCTCCCACATATTGTGTGACCTTAGAGAAGTCACCTCACTGCTCTGAGCCTTGGATTCGTCATATGTAAAATAAGGCTTACCTTGATGATTTTTAAGATCCCTTTCAATTCTAAATCTTATAGAGTTTGGAGTCATGGATGTCTCAGAGTCAAGAGAATATAGTCTACAATTAACAGTATGCCATGGGTCAATTGATCTATATAAAGAGCATTCCTTGCAGCATGTACAAATATTCTTTCCCTGCTCCTAGTCGATCATGAGGAAATCTGAGGGCTTGACTTTAATCCATAAACAACTGATGACTGAGGATCCCCTAATTGGCTACTAAGCAGGAAGATCTGAGGACTTAGGGCACCTTTCAAAAGAAAACACAGCTTCCTGTTTGCTCCCTCTTGGCTGCAATTCAGCAGGTGATTAAATGTTATTCTAGTGTGAGGTGGGGAAAGGACAAAGTCCTGTCTTCCCATTTGGCCCCTAAAGTCCCTCCCTATACTAGTGTTATAGCAGCTTACATAGCAATCAATGCAGGGGGACTCAATCAGGTGAACTTTAGCTCAGGTGACTGGCTACCTCTGACTGTCTTCTGGTGTTCCTTTCCTTGAATAAGTGACATTGTGAAGTTGAAATGTTGGGAAGTCTGTGAGAATTGGCAAAAGTGTATACCAGAATGATTGTAATAGCAGCATGGTCAAGAGTGGGTCTGAAGAAAGGGAAATATCTTTGATGGAAAGACCACCAGAAAGTAAAATAAATTTGGATGTTTAATGAGACAATGTCAGAGATGCAAAATGGAAAATGATTAGTTAAAAGCCTTGCAAAAATTGCTTTTTACACCAATGAAGCTTAACTACCAACTTTCCAAAAAAAAAAAAACCAACCACAAACTACACTAGTTAAAGTTACTAAACTCTGTTCTTATCATTCTGTCGGTGTGCAGTATGATCTTCATGGTTTTATTGCTTTTGTCAGGAGCAAATTTCCTATAAGATATCTTATTGTATTTGTGCTTTGAGTATATTTGTTAATTGCTTCTCTTTTGGGGGGAAATCTAGTCATGAATTATAACTTTTATTGTAATTAACATAATCTCCAGATTGCCAGGGTGGGGGCTTACTAATGAGCTAAAGAATATGACAATAGGGATCCTAATCTTCTAAATAGAGCTCAGGATGGTCCAGAGCTGAGTCTGGCCAATCATTAATGACTAGGTAAAGGGTGGAGAGTGGTCACCAGTCCCTATGGCTGCAGCCAAGCTGTGCCTCTATATCTTGTGTTAGAATTTTAATCTTATTTCTTTTTTTCGTTTGTTTGATTTCAGACTTACAATCTGCCCAGAAACACAGAGGTAATCACTGAAGAGGTTATAAGCAGAGTCTGTGGGGAGCAGAAAATGTCTTTGAATTAGATTTGAGATTATACTGGACTGCAAGCTTCATTTAACCTAACAGTATTGGATGACAGTCAAGAAATCTAATATCATCTAAATCTTCATTGAAAGAGGCTTAAGTAATACCCAGGACTAGGGAGTTGATTAGCCCCACTGTACTTTGCTCTGGTCAGCCTACATCTGGAGCATGACCTTGGGAAAGTCACTTAGCCTGTTTGCCTCATTATCCTCAACTGTAGAATGGAGATCACAACTGGAATCACCTGCCTTCCAAGGTTGTTGTGAGGATCAAATGAAATGATAATTGTAAAGCACCTAGAACAATGCTTGACAAAGAGTAGGTGTTATGCAAATCCAAGCTATTATGATCATTATTTTTTACAAATGAGAATATTTCAGTTACTCAAGTATTCAAAAAGTAGCCATGTGAAATGGGGATTATAATTATTCTGCTTGGGCCCAGAAAGCAGAAGGAGGAACAGTGGGTCAAACAAATAAAAGGTAAAGAAAAGCTTGACAACTACAGACAGTTATAAGGCAGAATGATGGCCTGAAGTTAGGACAACATAGTAGAGTGAAAAGAATACTGACTTTGGGGGTCAGAGGACTTGAGTTAAAGTTCTCCCTCTGTCCACCTTTGCAACCTTGTGAAAGTCACTCCACCTCTCTGGGCCTCTGTGGCCTCATCTATAAAAAGTGGGGACTGGTGAACAAAACGGCTTCTAAAGTCCCTTCCAACATAATGACTGGTATATAGTAGTTGATTAATAAATGCTTATAGCTTGATTTAAAGACTGAATCTAGAACTTAGTATAATTTGGCACAAAGTAAGCATTTAATCCGTGTTTGTTAATTGACTGACAGCTTAATGAACATTTTCATGTATAGTACATTCTCTTTCAGTCACATATTATAGTGAAAGGCCTCAAGTCCTTCTAACTGAGCTTCTGTGAATAATAGGTCATATTTATATAGTCTTTTAAGGTTTGCAAAGAATTTTATTATTTTGTTTGACTCTATTTTATACATCCCTTCTCCTTGAAACTCTTCTTTTGGACTCTGTGACACTATATTATTATCTGACAATCTCTTTCCCCTGCTGTTTTCCTCCTATCTTTCTAACTGTTCCTTCCCAACATAGTAAAAATAGCCCTAAACTAGAATGTATATGGAGGCATGACTTCAAGGAAGTGTAACTATTTTACAACAGAAACACAATAGATCCAGCAGCTAGGGGGCACACTGGACTCAGCAAGACTGAGTTCAAATTTGGTTTCAGAAATTAGCTGTGTGACCAGAGGCAAGTCAATTAACTGACTTGCCTCAGTTTCCTCAAATGCAAAATGGGGACAATAATAGCACCGACCTCTTAAGGTTGTTGTGTAGATAAAATGACATAATATTTGTAAAGTACTTTGCAAACCTTAAAGCCAGCTATTACTTGCTTGTGTGTGTGTGTGTGTGTGTGTGTGTGTGTGTGTTTAAAGTAATGGGGTACTAAACTTGAAGACGGAAAACAGACTTATCCTTCTGAGTTAGGGAGAATGGTGACAGGGTGAGTGAAAAGACAAAAATATACTGAAGAAAAAAAGAGGGAAGATGAAAGAAGTTCAGCCATATGGCCTTGTATTTCTCAGCAAAATTGGGGGGAAGTCATTGGCTCAATGTGTACATGTGTGTTTTGGGGAGAACTTGGTGCCTTGAGCTTGGAAGTGGTTTAGAATAGCAGCTGGGACATGTATTCTAAGAAAGCATCAAGAAATGAAGTATCATTTAACAATGCACATCACAGAAGTGATTAGAGCATGGCAGTAGGCTTTTGTTTCTAACCCTGGGACTGAACCTGTACATTTCTTTGCAGTGGATGTCACTTTGGATGCAGACACAGCTCATCCTTACCTTCTTCCTCGAATGGATGGCAAAAGTGTCTTTTCCTGTTCTCAGAAACTAAAGAAAACTAAGAGTGCCGAGCGCTTTGAAACCCCAGTCTGTGTGCTGGGCAAGGAGAGATTCATTTCAGGGAAATTCTACTGGGAGGTGCAGGTAGAAGATAAGATGAAGTGGACCTTGGGACTCTGTAAAAACTCAGTCTGCAGAAAAGGGGGGGTCCAGGTCACACCAGAAGCTGGGTTCTGGACTATCTCTCTGAAGAAAGGGAATGAGTACTGGGCCCTCTCTAGCCCTCAGACCCGTCTCCACTTGGTAGTGGCCCCTAAGATTGTGGGGATTTTCCTGGACTATGAAGCAGGCCAGATCTCTTTCTACAATGTGACTGATGGTACACATATCTACACCTTCCAGGACACCTTTAATGGGGCCCTACGGCCATGCATCTGCCCTGGCCCCCTCTCTATATGGGAAAACATTGTCCCTATCACTATCCCATCCCAAAGTCAGGCAACTCTCAAGCCTTCCCAACTTCCTAAAACCACACAAGAGCCTGGAAATTGTTTTGAGTAAGCAGCTATGGGTTCTTGAGGAGAAGCCATCTTCTCCACAGCTCTCAGTACAAATGTACTTACCTTTCATCTCTCTTGGAGGACACTGAATCTTTAGGAATGTTCCTTGTGCACGTTTTGAGATTTCTCCCACATGCCCTTCTCCATTCCTATGCACACCTTCTCTGCTCCATTTGGTTTGAGGATTTGCTAAACCCTTTCCAGGGCTATTTACTCACCTGTAGTGTCCACCTGTCACCCAACTCTCACCCATAGTTCCAAGAAGCTGTAGCATCCACCATCTGGTAAAACCTTCTTGGCAAATGGGCTAAACCAGGTTGAGGGTAACCGACAGGACTCAGAACTGTAAGTAAGTTAGGGAGATGTCTATCCCAAGCATATAAAGACTACCCCTGGTGGAATGGGTGGATGAGAACAATTTGTTCCAATGGTCATGAAGGCAGGTGACGCAGGCCCTGTGGAGCACTTGGAGCTTGGCCAGACATCAAAAACGCCAAGGTCATCTGCTGCATTCTGGGCCATCGTCAGTCATCTTGCCTTTTGTCTTGCCACTAGACTTCGATGACTGTGGAAGACACAGTGACACTGATGACTGACTTTGTGCAGCTCTGCCTCACTTAAATCCAATTCACTCTCAAGCCAAAACATGACATGCCAATGGTCCTCTTTGAAAACAAAACATAAACAACAACAACAACATCCTCATAGCCTCTTCTACTTTTGTTTGTTTCAGTACCATGAGAATTCCTAGTGTACCTTTTCTGCAACAGTTCTATTTGCCTTATAGATTTTTAACAATGGCCTTAAAATGCAGATATACATCAGATACAATAGCCCATGGGCCAAGGAACCCTTTCAAATTTGCCAGGAAGAAGGGTGGTTTATTTTTATGGGAAATATTGGCCGGTTACCATAACTAGCTAGAACTCTTGCCACCCAGAATTATGAGTAACTGACACATTCACATATATCAGGTACACTTTTGAGTTGGTGTCCAGGTCGTGTGAGATCATCATCATCTACATCATAAACCTGTGCAATTGCACTAGCAAAGATGTAGAATCTTTCTGGACAGTTATCTGACAGTGCACAATAAAGTTTACAAAAATAGTCCTTGCTTTTGATCCAGTAATTCTATTGTTAGGAATACAGCCTGACGGTATTGTCAAAATAAAAACAGGACTGTCTGTTCAAAAAGTTTTATAGTTGCATTGAATGTATTTGCAAAAACTAGCAATAATGTTAAACAGCAATATGACTCTTCCCCCCACCCGCAATAAATCTGGGGCATGTGCTCCTTTCCTCTATTTTGTCTTGTCTCATACAATTTATCTTTTTCTGTCTGGATTCCATTCAATTGACACTGCTCACTTTGAGGCTACAGTAAATGCCCATAGTCAGTGGGAAGAGGACCTGCATGTATGACACATGTATGTGTATGTGTATGTGTATGTGTATATGTATATGCATACATACCACATGTGGCCAGAGTACCTCTGTCGAGAAATAATCCTTCCTTTGACATTTCTTACTTCCTTTGTCTTCTTGTGATGTCACTACACTCCTCCTCCTGGGTCTGGTCCCCACTGAACTGTCCTCACTGCTAGATTTGCACCTGGGCTTCCCATCTTCCCTCTTCTGCTTCTCAGCACTGCTCTTGATCCCCACCTCTGCTGCTCTGAGCCTCTCTTTCTCCCTTTTTGACGGTCACTTCTGCTCTCACTCAGGGGAATTATAAAAATTAAGCCTGGAAAGAGGAGCTGCAGCCAGAATGTGAAGGTTTTGAATGACAAGCAGAGGGAGAAGCAGTGACCCTAACCCCCTCCAAAACCTTTTAAAAATGGCTTTAAATGACAAGCAGAAGAGTTTGGATCTAATCTGCAGTCTTTTTCTATTCCCTGGCTCCTTCCTTACTGACCAAAAGCGTATTCATGTGTCCATCACCCTTAAACAACTGTAATGTGACTCTATCATCCCTTCATGTTATCATATTGTGTCTTTGCTCTTGAACAAAGACTACATGCTCATTTTCTCCATTTCTTCTCCTCCTACCCTCTGCTTTACCCTTTGTGATCTGCATTCCAACCTTGTCACCAAAACTGCTCTCTCCAAGACTGCCAGCAATCTCTGAGTTGTGCATTGTGACGGCCTTTTCTCCGTCCTCTTCCTTCTTGCCCCTCCCTGCAGACTTTGCTGTGGCTCATTGTGCCCTCATTCTGGACTCTGCATCTTTGGGCCATTTCCTGACATTGTTCTCTCCAGTCTCCCCTCCTACCCATTTGACCGTTCCTTCTCAGTCACATTCTCTCCTAAAACCCTGTATGTTCCCAGTCCAATCCAATTCTATTCAATCCCATCCCGTCCGATCCAGTAAATATTTATGAAGCGCCTCTTATGTGTGAAACACCGTACTAAGCACTAGGAGTACAGTTAATAAAGACAGTCCCTGCCCTCAAGGAACTTACAGTCTAAAGGGGGGACAACACATACAAGGAGTAGGGAAATAGGGAGTAGGGGGATAGGACAGTAGGAGGTTCCCAGCGTGGCAGCGTCTTCTGTGTAATTGAAATGAAACAAGCCTGCAGATTCAAAGTGGAAGCTCCCTATGGCTTACGTGGGATTTTCTTCTTTTCTCTCTTCCTCTCCTTGTCATCCACCTGAGTGACCAGCAGCTAATGCCTCCCCATTTTCAGTACCTTTCATCCGCTCTCTATAATATCTCGTATGGACATAGTTATTTACACGTTCTCTGTGCCAACAGAGGGCAGGGGCAGGTTTTTTGCCTTTCCTTATACACCCAGCCCTTAGCACAGTGTGTGTTATATAGTGAGCGCTCTAGAAATGCTTACAGACTATCGGGTTTTGTCAAACATACTGGCTCTGTGCTGGACGGTCCTTTTGTATGATCACTAAATGTTCTCTTGGCATCCAATGACTAGCTCATTATATCCAGGCGAGAAGGAATTCCATCTTTCTACTCATTTTCCTGTTCTCTTTCTTCTCTTCTTGCTTTTTCATTTTTCTTATTTCTCCTTCTTTTCTTCCTCCCTTTGTATTTATATCACATTTTTTTTAACCTTTCAAAGTTCTTCAACTCAAATTTTCCTAATTAGACTTTCTTGACAACTCAACCCCCAGGTGGCTTTCTATTTTTAGTGGTTATCAATATGTTTATTTCATAAGAGAGAGAATTGAGACAGAGAGGCTAAAAGACTGGGACTCAGTTTATTTATCTGTAAATCAAGAGATTTGGGCTAGATGGCCTGTGAGATCCCTTCCAGATCTAGATTTTAAGACTTGCTGATCTTATAATTGGCTCTGGGCCAGCACTGGTAAAAATAATATTTATTTAAAGTTCACAAAGGAACTTAATGGACTAATACAAGACTTGGATCCAGGACTCTTCTCTCCACACATTTTTTCTTGTACCTCATCTCCAACATCTTGTACCTCATCTCCATCTTATATATTGCAGATTAGGACCATGTAAATGGTAGGAGAGAGGCTTTCCCTGGACTGAGGTGCCTCCCTGACCACCTGTACAACTCTTCCATGCCAAAGATGGGCCCACGAGTGCATTTCAGTCATCTGGGTCAGATTGAGTGGCCAGGTAAAGATAGGTCTGTTCTACGTATGGGCCATTATTTTGTGGCTGAGGCTCATGGTACTTAATTGCATCTGGTAGACTGGTTTTGAAAGTAGTTTGGGGCAGGTAGGCAGCACAGTGTATAAAGCACCGGCTCTGGAGTCAGGAGGACCTGAGTTCAAATCCGGTCTAAGACACTTGACACTTATTAGCTGTGTGACCCTGGGCAAGTCACTTAACCCCATTGCCTAACCAAAAAAAAAAAGTAGTTTGGAAAGTTATATTGGAAGCAATGACAGCTGGTCTCATTCAGTTTCTCAGAGTCCATCTGAGGGAATCTCAGCTCAGCATAACCAAACTCTGTCCTCTGAGGCCTCTATTTTGGAGAAACATGCTCCCTCTTGCTCCTGAGCCTCAAATGATATTCCTGACACTCTGAAGAAAAATGCACAGTGACTTCTCTTTGAGCTGTATTTTGCTCATTAGTTGATGAAATCACAGAATCTCAGAGTTGACAAGGACCTTAGAGCTCATCTAGTCCATGAGGAAACTGGGACCCAGAAAGAGAAAGTAATGCCCAACATCACATGGGTGGAGCAGAGGGAGAATTCGAACCCCTGGATGGCCCCGCTTCCAAATTCAGCACTCCTTCCACTGGAGCCAAAGTGACTCAGGAAGAGAAGCTCCGAGGCTGTCTCTGTACCACCCTTGGGTAAAATTTCGCTGCTAATTGAAACATTCTTGCTTTGCAATTCTTAGTGTACGTGGCGAAGTCGGTAAAAAAGCCTCTTCAAGGCTGGGTGGTCTAAAGAAACTAGTGGTGGATCTGTTTTCAGGGGACCCTGGTTCAAGTCTCAGTGCTGCTCTCACTACTTATGTAACCTTGGGCAAGTCACTGACCTCCCAAGGCCTCAGTGTTCTCATCTGTAAGTCAAGTCAACAAATACTTGTAAGCATCTACTGTATGTTACACTGCTGTGCTAAGCACTGGAAATACAAAGGAAAATAGGAGACAGGCCCTGTTCTTATTTTATTTTTATTGTTTCTTTTTGTTTGTTATTGTTAGGCAATGGGATTAAATGACTTGCCCAGGGTCACACAGCTAGTAAGTGTTATATGTCTGAGGCTGGATTTGAACTCAGGTCTTCCTGAATCCAGGACCAGTGCTCTATCCACTGCACCACCTAGCTGCCCCTAGACTCTGTTCTTAAAGAAAAGTTCACAAAATAGATGAAGAAGGAGTCCTACCACATTCTTTTTACTATACAAATATGGTGCTGATACCTAAACCGGGAAGAGCCAAGACAGAGAAAGAAAATTATAGACCAATTTCCCTAATGAATATAGAGGCAACTTTTAAAAATCAAATATTAGTAAAGGTATTACAGCAACTTATTTCAAGGATAATACACTATGACTAGGTAGGATTTATACCAGGAATGCAGGACTGGTTCAATATTATGAAAACTATCAGGATTATTGACAATATCAACAACAAAACTGACAGAAATCATATGATTATCTCCATCGATGCAGAAAAAGCCTTTGACAAAATACAACACCCATTCCTATTAAAAACACTAGAGAACATAGGAATAAATGGAGTCTTCCTTAAAATGATAAATAGCATCTAGCTAAAACCATCAGCAAATATTATACACAATGGGGATAACTAGAAGCATTTCCAATAAGATGACCATTATCACCACTGTTATTCAATATTGTACTAGAAATGTTAGCTTTAGCAATAAGAGAAGAAAAAGAAATTGAAGGAATTAGAATAGGCAAAGAAGAAACAAAGCTATCCCTCTTTGCAGATGATACGATGATATACTTGTGGAATCCTAGAAAATCAATTAAAAATTACTTGAAATAATAAACAAGTTATCAAAGTTGCAGGCTATAAAATAAACCCAGATAAATCATCGACATTTCTACATAATACTAACAAAGCCCAACAGCAAAAGATGGAAAGAGAAATTCCATTTAAAGTTACTATAGACATTATAAAATATTTAGGAGTCTACCTACCAAAACAAATCCAGGAACTCTATGAACACAATTACAAAACACTTTTCATACGAATAAAGTCAAATCAAAACAATTGGAAAAACATCAGCTGCTTCTGTTGTGAATGGAGAAGACTGTGGGTTCTCGAAGACTATACCAGCAAAGTACGGTCCTACCAAATTACAAAGGCTTTGAGTATGGCTCCAATGGAGGAATGTCACCTGAAGATCAACCTAGCTAAGTTGGAAGATGGGGGCAATTAGATGGCGCAGCGAACGGAGCACCAGGCCAGGAGTCAGGAAGATCTGAGTTCAAATATGACCTCAGATACCTACACTGGACAAGTCACTTAACCCCTACCTGCATAAAACTGAAGAAGGAAATGGCAAACCACTTCAGTATCTTTGCCAAGAAAACCCCATGGACAGCTGGTCTACAGGGTCACAAGGAGTAGAATAGGACTGAACATCAACAACAACAAAATTTGGAGATGTACATTGTCGTAAGGTTATCTAGACAGGTAATGAGTATTTTTTATTGCATATATATTTATCGAATATATTTTATTTACCCACCTATTAAGGCATAGAAGGGTTGCAGTCTCCATTGGTATTATGGTGAAATCATGGTAAAATGATGAAGTCATGCATTTTTTATATACTGAAACCTGCATAAAGACGAATGCTTGCAGTTACCTCTTGATTATATATG